TACTGAATACAGTACAGTGAAATCCTGTAAATACAGAGTGATAAGGAAGATAAAAAATCAAACTTGCTTTAAAACCCAGCAACGCAACTGTAGCTGTATAACTTTACAACAGCAACACTGCTTTAACAAAAAAGCAAAACAGCAAGACTTATTTGACATCAAAACAAACATTTTAAAAATGCTGTCTAATCGCTCTCGCTGTACTTTGGTGTTACACACAGACCAGTCTGTGCAGTGCTGCTTCAGTCCAACACCTATTGTGTTTTATTAGGAGATGCACAACAGTTCTTCTGTGGCTTTATAGGTAATATTTTCACCTTACACAATTTAGCAAAATCAGACAATATTGTGTCTAATATATACCACAATATTAACTTCTTATTATTGAATTGTTGTAAATAAATATCATATTTGCAACTGGTCAGTGTTCAAAAAATGCTGGGAAATCTCTTCATAGCCCTACAAGTGTGATTACTGATAAACTGTCTGAAAAAAAAGAAAGTCACGTTTTAGAGAAGAAAAAAATCACCCACTGACTTTCAAAGCTGCTACATAGTAACGACTTTCTACTTCAAGGACCTTGATAGAAATGTAGTGGAGTGAAAAGTACAATATTTGTCTTTCAAATGTAGTGAAGTTAAAGTCATAAGTTCCCAGAAAAAATAATACTCAAGTAAAGTACAGATACTCAAAATGTGTACTTAAGTACAATACTCAAGTAAATGTACTTAGTATCTGTCCGCCTCTGGCGACGACCAACCAGCGGCCGCACAAATCTCACTGATGGAAATCCCGCTGGCCCATGCCCAGGAGGAGGCCATTCCTCTAGTTGAATGGGCTCTCACTCCTATAGGGCACTATGAGCCCACTGAGGCGTAAGCCAGGGCGATCGCATCTACAATCCCGCGAGATAGTCTCTGCTTTGTGACTGGCAGCCCTTTAGAGCATTCTCCAAAGCACACAAAGAGCTGCTCAGACTGTTTGAACGACTTAGATTATATAAACGATATAGATTACAAATGATTGATTATTGTCCAGCAGTGTATTTGATTTCTTGTAGCAAATTCAAAGTAAGAGATAAGAAAAGAGAAAGAAAAAAAATATATAATAATAATAATACATACATACATACATAAATTGATTGTATTTGACATTTCTGAAATGATGGCTATGCCCCTGGTGTGACAAAATGTTAGCCTATACATAATACTTTTAAAGCTCTTTTTTAAAATCTTGGCTTACATACATTTCTATATATGCCATGTCATGCCATAGCATCATTAAACTAACATCTAACAATGGACAAAAGTGTTTTTTTTTCTGTAAGCTATGGTTCTCTAACCATAAAAGCTGCTGTGTAATTTGCCCCCTTACTAAGCATTTAAAGAATTTAGGGGAAGTATTTAAATAATCCTGTGAATGCACTTAAAGAATGCAGAATCTAATTGTTAATCGAATCGAATCGAATTTTATTGGAAATTGAATCGAATTGAATCGTTCTTAATTTGCAAAAATCGTTCTTGAATCGAATCGAAAACCTATGAATCGTGAATCGAATCGATTCGCTGTCTACCCAAAGATTCACAGCCCTAGGTGCGCCCCTTGTCCAACAGCTCTTGCAGAAAGGTTAGCACGTGGGACACGTCACATGAGTTCCGGTCCTGATCTCGTGCTGAACACCAGTCACAAAAGACTGACCACTTGAGAGCATAGAGACGTCTTGTAGACGGAGCTCTTGCTTCTAAGATGGTGTTTGACACTCTTGCAGGAAGCTGGCTAGCCTCCCGTCGAGGGACCAGACATGAAGGTTCCACAGCTTTGGCTGGGGATGCCAAATCCTCCCCTGTGGTTGCGAGAGAAGATCTTTCCTCAGTGGTATCGGCCATGGGGCTGCTGATGACAGCTGGACCATTTCCAGAAACCAAGGTTGGTTCCTCCAGAGTGGGGCCACCAAGAGGAGAGCACATCTCGTTTCCCTGACTTGCCTGATGACCCGAGGGAGCAGAGCGATCGGAGGGAAAGCATACAGACGGGTGTTGGGCCAGTCGTGGGCCAGAGCATCCCATTGTGTTGAGAAATAGATTGGGCAGTGACATTTGTCTTCGGAGGAGAAGAGGTCCACCTCTGCCTTGCCGAAAACTGACCAGAACATCTGAACCGACTGAAGATGTAGTCTCCACTCTTCTGGAGCTACATTGTCCCTGGACAGCATGTCCGCTCCCTGGTTCAGTCTGCCCGGCACGTGAACCGCTCGTAGTGAGAGGAGTTTGCTCTGTGCCCATAGTAGGAGACGTCGAGTCATCCTCTACAGGGGATGTGACCTGAGGCCACCTTGGCAATTGATATAAGCTACCACAGTCATGTTGTCCGACCGGACCAAAACGTGGTGCCCCTTTAAGGCTGGCAGGAAGGACTTTAGGGCCAGACAAACAGCCATAATTTTGAGGCAGTTGATGTGTAGGCATCGCTCGCGAATGGGTACCTGTTTTATGGCACCTTTTGCAAGCAATGTGTTTACTTCGGACCGAAGAACATGAGAATCGTTGTTCGATACCGAAGTTTGAATGACACCTCTGAAACGAGAAGGCCTGCGATCAAACTGAAGTGAGTATCCTTGTTCTATCGTTTTAGGATCCATGTTGACACGCCAGGAATGGCTTTCCAAGCCATCAGCCGGGTGGCAAGAGGTTCCATTTTTATGAATGACAACTCGCCGTGTGAAGGCAGGGAGCTGGCATGTGTGAGTGCAGGGAGAGGAATTTTGCACTTTAAAGTATGTGGGTCCGCTATCACAGCGGTAATTTGATGGGGCACATGCTGGTTTTGCAGGATGTGCCCTGTTAGAAAACCTCTGCTACTCAGAGATGTTCGAAAAGACGGGGAGTAAATGCGAGCTTTCATTGAGGGGGTTCTGGCTTCTGCGAAAATGAGCCCTCTCCTCTTCCTGTCTGCTGGATCAGGATGGCTTTTGATGCTTTGGGTTTAGCACTATGAGTGGGCGGGGACCTTGACGTTTCGGGAAGGGATACTTCCTAGCCACTCTGTGACGCTGGTGAAGCCCAGGCTCCTGTTTTTGCAGAGGCTGTGGCGGCGCTGGCTTCGCAAACTGTTGAGTGGATGCAGTCTTGGGGCGACTTGAAACAGTTGCCAAACTGGGGAGCTTAGGCAGGAAATGACGCAGCACCTGCAACGTCTTTTGTGCCTCAGTGAAGCGCTCTGTGATACCGTCCACAGCCGGGCCAAAGAGTCTCTTGGGAGTGACGGGGGAGTCCAGGAAGGCCATTTTCTCAGCGTCCCTGATCTCTGTTAAGTTTAGCTATGGCCTTGCCCACTGCCTGCGCCGTCACCTTTGTGGTGCGAAGAGCCAGATCGGTCGATGTGTGCAGCTCTCTGAAAGTGCTGATCTCTGCCAGACTCGTCCATGTCACGGAGAAGTTTGGCTTGAAATACTTAGAGGACAGACATCGCTAGCCAGCTGCTGCATAAGCCTTGTTGGCCAGAGCTGACGTCATCCTGCAGGGCTTAGAGGGGTGCGATGCAAACTTGAGCCCGCAGGTCGATGGTGGACACAGATGAGCCACCACAGCCTCTTCTGTACCCCTTTTTTTCACTCGTCGAGGAGGCCGGGGATGGGCTCTTCCGGGGCCATCCAATCCAGGCCGAGTTCCTCTACTGCCTTCGTGAAGACGCGGATCAGCTCTGAGTCTACGCTGGGGCACGCAGACTGAGATAGAGCGGGGGCTTCAGGCTCTTCGCCGGAACCCGCCCACTCTTCAGCGTCAGCTGCCGTCAAGGACATGGAGTTGTCAACGATCACCTCCTCTTCAGAAGTGCCGAAAGACACCAGGCTGCTCGCAGCCGACGAGGGGTGTTGATCCTCATGTGTGAAACACACCGGTGAACTGAGGCGCTGCAGGGAGAGTGAGGCACGCGGGCGCTGGCCTGATGTAATCTCACTCGAGCCCGCAGCTCCGCTGTTTCTTCCTCTTGGTCGAGAAAGGAAACGGGAGAGCAGGATGGGGACGTCCACCTTCGTGAAAGAAGGCAATGTGTGAGCGAAGGAGGGAGAGACTCATGTTCTCGCAGTGAGAACATGAAGACTCAGTGAGCGCAGCCTCTGCGTGGGCGCTACCCAGACAGGCGACACACTCACTGTGCCCATCAGCGTCTTGCAAGGGGTCCTTGCAGGTGCTGCACTCACGGAGCAACATTTGCAACAACGCTGCTTGAAATTAGTTTTTGGAAATATGCTCTGGAAATGCTCTTAATTTGCCGGATGGCCACAGGGGAAGGTCTTCTTCTGCTGCCGGAGGCTTCTTCCACGGCGAAGAGCAAGGAGAGCAGGTAAGCAGGCTTCTTTTCTTGCTTCTTCGGCTTCGTAGTAGGGTCAGCGAAGAGATGGTCTCATCGCTGAAGGAGAAGATTCTGATGAAATGGCGCGTTGCGCCGACTTATATAGAGATCGGCTCCGCCCTTTCTGGCAGGCTAAATCACCATTGGTTTGGGCAGTGATACACACATTAACACAGTGTTTCCCAATCTTTTTTTAGTCAAATAATGTTTAGTCCTAGAAAGCTATTATTATCAGAACACGCGAGCATAACATAGCGGTTAGCAGATCAATGAATGAGAGGGCAGCGTTACCAGAGTTGTCCATATACCACACCATGTTACAACACAGTAGGGCTATTGCAGACAGAAACAATACTGTACTACATCGATGTTTCCTGTCAGCTCGATTTTTGAGTGTACTTTGCTGTTCCGATGAGCATGAACGGTATACGAGTGGAGCGACTGAGCGGAGCACACACGCATAGAGCGGAATAATACACAGCGTCATTCCACGTGAAAGTGAAACCTGAGCGGTGAACTAATTTTCGGCAGCCGAAATTTCGGTGCATCTCTAATTATTGGCAACATCAGAAATGGATATTATATAATAGATGCTTTTTTTAACATTTTAGCTATTTAAACATATTAAAAAATGATTTTTTTACACGGCACCCCTGCTCTCGACAGACGGCACCCCGGTTGGGAAACACTGCGTTAACAAATCTGGCTTCAGTAACAGGGTAAACAGGAGGATAACCCATAACGCAACGTGAAGTGAACGTTCAAGGGAGGGAACTATTTTGACCCATCCATCAGTTTGTACTTACAGTACACTGGAAGTCTATGGGGCCAGCATTCTAGAGTATTTGAAGGCAGAAATATGAAGCTTGTACTTTTGTTTAAGCACCTCAGTAAAAATTGTTTATTTGAGCTGTAAAGTTGTCTAAATCATTTTTGTTGATTGTTGTTGAGGTGGGACTACCTTTCTAGATGGAAGAATTTTGCCCCATAGACTTTCCTTTTTTATTTGTTTTTACAAACTGAGAGACTAGGCACATTACATTTCTGTAGTAATTGACAGCAGGCTGCAGATGCTGTTGAGAGAGCTTAACATATATTCACCAAGGATATTCTGTTTATTGTTTGATTTATTATTGGACAATTGACATTTGTGACAATATCATTAAAGCAAGAAATTTCAATTTTAAATTACTTTGTTTGATACAATAAATTTAAACCCACCGCAGACGTGCTTGCTTCAGTAAAATCTACTGTACCTTTATATATTCTAGGTTTATATAGTGGTTGGAATAGCTGGGGTTGCTTTAACCGGATGTATCCTGATGTTAGTTTTCCTCAAGTATGGCAGAAGCTCCAAGTTTGGTATGAAAGGTGAGTGCACCATTTTATCTTTTCACTTCTGCTGAATATGTTTTTTTTTTTTTTAAGTCAACATAACATACCTTCTTAATACACATACCTGGTTATTCCATATAATTTTTTAAGGCGACATAGCACGAAAATCTGACTTTTTCCATGTTTAAGTGCTATAATCAGGTCCCAACCCTGAAAACGTGAAAAAAACAACAACACAGTAAATCTATTTGATAAGCCTTTCTCTGCAAGCTTGTGAAAAAACAAGCCTCTCAGATTTCGCTCCCCCCATAACGTAGAAAGGGGATGTTATTATAATATTACCACCCCTTAATCTGCACGTTTCCACCCACAGCACTGCCATTGTGTTTTTGCAAGCGACAATGGTGTCAGATCTAACGCCATAGCAAAAGTTCAAGCAAAGCATGCTAATTGTTCTGTCTTTGGCTGCACTGAAGAGCACAGAACACTATTTAGAGTCCCAGCCTCAGACGAGACAAGAGAGCAGTGGATTTATTTATTTATTTATTGTATATTACGGTGCTGCCACACAGATTTAATATAAACATGCAATTTCTTTCCCAACTGTTTACCTTCACAGACATAACCAACTGTTTTTGTAACTCGTGTGTTTTTAAGAGAACTTGTGTGTATTTGACTGTTTAAGTGCAATAAAACATGAAAGAGAAATTTAGTTTAGTACTCACATGTCATGTGACAGCCACTTTCTTTGCGCATGCTTTGGATGTGTGCGCTCTGAAAACCGTAAATAAGAAGTTTAAACTGATATGGTTAAAAACCAAACAGATGCTTTTTTATCAGAGTATCCGAGGTATGAGCTGTAAAGGCTCAGCCCTATTCTGGAAAAGGGGGAGGGGAGCAGCAGCTCATTTGCATTTAAAAAGACATGCTAGAAAACAGCATGTTTCTGCTTCCACTCAAAATAGGCATTTTCAAAATGATATAATAAATGATCTGTGGGGTATTTTGAGCTGAAACTTCAAAGACACATTCTGGGGACACCTGAGACTTATATTACATATTGTAAAAAGGTGCATAGGTCTCCTTTAAAGTGCCCCTATTATGGGTAATGAAAGGTTCATATTTTGGTTTTGGGAGTCCCCAACAACATTTAGTACTCACATGTCATGTGACAGCCACTTTCTTTGCGCATGCTTTGGATGTGTGCGCTCTGAAAACCGTAAATAAGAAGTTTAAACTGATATGGTTAAAAACCAAACAGATGCTTTTTTATCAGAGTATCCGAGGTATGAGCTGTAAAGGCTCAGCCCTATTCTGGAAAAGGGGGAGGGGAGCAGCAGCTCATTTGCATTTAAAAAGACATGCTAGAAAACAGCATGTTTCTGCTTCCACTCAAAATAGGCATTTTCAAAATGATATAATAAATGATCTGTGGGGTATTTTGAGCTGAAACTTCAAAGACACATTCTGGGGACACCTGAGACTTATATTACATATTGTAAAAAGGTGCATAGGTCTCCTTTAAAGTGCCCCTATTATGGGTAATGAAAGGTTCATATTTTGGTTTTGGGAGTCCCCAACAACAGGTTGACATGCATGCAAGGTCAAAAAACACTTTCATTGTCTTATGACATGCATTTATGTTTACCTTATTTGCTCAACGACTCCCAAACGATTCGTTTAACGATTCATTTTTCCAAACCCCTCCTTTGCATGATGATAATCTGTGGTGATTGGTCCGATTAGTCTCATTTTCGTTTCATCATGCCTGTAATGCCTGATAAAGCATTTGTGAGCACAGTGTGTACAAGCAGCATTTGTGAGCACAGTGTGTACAGCGTTATTTTTACCGCTCCAAAAGCGGCACCTAGTGGCAAAGAATGAATTTGCATTTTGATTCAGACCAACTCGAAAAGACCAACAAGTGGGTGGGCAATATGCTAATGTTTCATGTTGATGTCAACATGAAACAGCTTGGGATTCGTTTTAAAAAGGGGTCATATGACGTTGCTAAAAAGAACATTATGTTGTATATTTGGTGTAATGCAATGTGTTTATGCGGTTTAAGGTTAAAAAAACACATTATTTTCCACATAATGTGCATTATTGTTGCCTTTCTGAAACGCGTCGATTTTTACAAAGCTCATTGTTCTGAAAAGCGATGTGTGCTCTGATTGGCCAGCTATCCAGTGCACTGTGATTGGCTGAATACCTCAAGCGTGTGACGGAAATGTTACCCCCCTTAACATACTGTGATGCCCTGTGTCCCGGCGCGATGAGACAACAAACGAGGCATTTGTTGCATCCAGTGTGGACATAATTACTGATTATAATGACTTAGACTGTCGTTTTATGCGTTGCATTGCGTATCGCGCTGTGTAAACATAAAACCATGTGTGGAGAAACGACAAACGACAAGCGCTACTCTACACTGCTCAAAACTCACGTTTGAATCATCGGTGGCAAATTCTTTAAATATAAAAAACGTACTTACAGGCTGTGAGTCAGAAGCGCCAGACTGATGCTAAACCAGAATGATCAGCCTCAGAGGAGCTGAGCGGTGCTGTAAAATATGTTCCATGTCTTAATACTACAGAAAACACCCATTGAACAAACTAGATATTGTCATGAGCATCTAAATGCTTATATAGAAAAGAAATGAAACATTAATGCTGCTGCTGTCTGCTAATATTTTAGGCTACCACTAAGAATTGTTTCCTTATGAGATGTTTGGCGCTTATTGTGTAGCATATTCTGATTATCTGATAAATCTAGGTCTTTATTCTTATTACTGTTTACTTTAATTACCCAGTAAGGTTGGAGATCCCACAGTTTGCTCCTTACAAATGCATATGATGCAATCACTGAATCTGACAAGCAAAAAATCATAGCTATCGAAATTTTACCACACTTTACTTCATAATAACTGACTATAAATGTTTAATAAAGTGTGATGTGTGAGATTCTCTTCTTTCTGTTGTATATAAATAAAGCATACTGATCAGATATTAATATTTATGGATACAATAGGGTCTGACAGGTTACATTTTAAGCTATTGAAGTGTGTTACCCCTCTTTATTTCACGCAGGTGACTAATGCTTAATAAAGTAACTTGTGATGTTTCAGCTCCTCTTCTATTTTTCCTCTTTTACACAAAAGTTGTTTGACATGTACCTACCATTAATTGGCTTAATCATTTCCAAAAAGCAATAAGAGCCATACAGTAAGCCTGTTTTTATATGAGCTTTTTGTTATTCATATCAGAAACGGCACTTAATTAAAAATAATATGTTAATACGTGAAAGTATTATGTGGCATCAAGAGAAAGAGCAGAATTAAATTGCAACATTTATATGCCTGTTTTGAGGCTTACAGGTTTTTCCCCCTGATGTTCTTGTGCAGATTCAATGTAAAAAAAAAAAAAGCAGATTGAGAAGGAATTCCTTTGCCTAACATGCATTTATCTTGTTAATGTTCACCCCCTCCACCCCAATATATATATATTTTTTAAAGTGCAGTAATGCTAAATAACTTAGACCTCTCAAATTGTATGTAGTTTGTCAAGATTAAAGTAGCATTTGATTGTGAAATAACATTTTGGTAGCTATAATTTTGACCTATCATACCATACTATATCTGATAAATATGCTTTATAAAATAGAAAGAAGAGGAGCTCACACATCACATGAGCCACTTTATTAAACATTTATAGTCAGTTATTACAAAATTAAGAGTGGCAACATTTCTAGCTATGATAATTTTACTTGTCAGATTCAGTGACCCTAACCAGCTCATGCATTTGTAAGGAGCAAACTGTGGGATCTCCAACATTACTGGGTAATTACTGTAAACTGTAATAAGAATAAAGACCTACATTTATCAGATAATCAGAATACGTTACACAATAAGCTATAAAGAGGAGCTGAAACATCACAAGTTACTTTATTAAGCATTAGTCACCTGCGTGAAATAAAGAGGGGTAACACATTTCAATAGCTTAAAATGTAACCTGTCAGACCCTATTGTATCTATAAATATTAATATCTGATCAGTATGCTTTATTTATATATAACAGAAAGAAGAGAATCTCACACATCACACTTTATTAAAAATGTATAGTCAGTTATTATGAAGTAAAGTGTGGTAACATTTCGATAGCTATGATTTTTTGCTTGTCAGATTCAGTGACTGCATCATATGCATTTGTAAGGAGCAAACTGTGGGATCGCCAGCATTACTGGGTAATTAAAGTAAACAGTAATAAGAATAAATCTAACCTACATTTATCAGATAATCAGAATATGTTACACAATAAGCGCTAAACATCTCATAAAGAAACAATTCTTAGTGGTAGCCTAAAATATTAGCAGACAGCAGCAGCATTAATGTTTCATTTCTTTTCTATATAAGCATTTAGATGCTCGTGACAATATCTAGTTTGTTCAATGGGTGTTTTCTGTAGTATTAAGACATGGAACATCTTTTACAGCACCGCTCAGCTCCTCTGAGGCTGATCATTCTGGTTTAGCGTCTAATCTCCTGCGCAAACATTTGCTGAACAGCGACCACTGGTCCCAGTTTTCGCTAGGTCACCGATTTCGGCACAACATCGGTGGGCTGAGTGAGCGGCGGCCGGTGGGCTTGAGAAAGGTGCGGTCGGCGTATTCGACGAAGGAGCGTCCGATGGGCTTGCGGCAACCACATGTGACGACCCCGGGCTGGACTCCGCTTCGTCCATGATGAAAGCCGATCCGGCGATCCACAGCACGAAGTTGATGTATTTCCTCAGCGACCAGCATGGATCAGCTCTAGGCATGACGAAGCGGATATCGTCCTCTTTTGGAAGGACAAACAAAGTAGTTTCGCTTTCACAATGAAACACACAGCATCTCCACAACACGGCGACGGCAGCGGTAGCAACAATATTACAGCGAGAATCAAAGTTATGCCTTCTTCCTTTGCGTGAACATTTGGGTGGTGTTATGCAAATCGTCCCACATCATGACGTAGACATGTGGTGTTAGAACGAGCCGTTTTAGGTAGGCGTGGTTGAGTCTTCATTTTATAAAGAATATCTCTTTGGATTTGAACTTTACAGATCTTCTTTATGCACCAAGAGCTTGCAACACTCCAAAGAGAAAAGAAACATTGAAATCGCATCATATGACCCCTTTAAAAACAACTCCTTTCAATGATTCAGAGTCGACTCTTTCTTTTGAGAGACAATAACTTTATACACGGTGCACTTTCAGATTTAAAACGTTGCAGGATGTTTTCATTCACTTAGAGCTGTGTTACACACTGCATGAAAGGTAATTTTCAAAAATCCATAATAGGGGCACTTTAAGCATGTTTAAGCATTTTAAGCAATGTTTTAGCAAACTTACAAGTCTGTCTCCATTCTGATATGGAACACCTACATTTCACAATTGAATTGGTTCCTGTTGAAAATAAATAAAAATAAAAACAAATCCTGGCCTACATTTTATTTCTTGTTAAATATCTTGTTTCACTGAGAAATATGTCACATTACGAAAGTAAAGTCAGGTAACGTCATTATTACCGTACAAATACAGAATATTATGAATTTTAATTTTTTCAGCAACATTATTAGTTGCACCTTCTAAACAAACTTTATGGTTATTGTTTTCGCTCTCATAATAATGCACTTTTTGAGAATCTGTATTGAGAATCTGAATTCTTATTATTTCTGTGGATTATTGTATTGTCTGATTTTTTCCCGACCAGGCTCTTCATCTGTCATCAGTAATGAAGACGACTCGGCCAGCCCGCTTCACCACGTTTCCAATGGCAACAACACGCCATCATCATCGGAGATGGGCCCAGATGCCGTTATCATCGGAATGACAAAGATTCCAGTCATCGAGAACCCCCAGTACTTCCGCAACCCTGGCAGCATGCTGAAATCGGACACTTGTGAGTTGCCATGGCATGCTGGGCCGTCAGCGGCCCCACTCTGAAATAGATTCCAGCCTAGGTTGCCACTGGTCAGTTGTCATAGTAACCTCCCCTTCTATCACCATGGCGATGATATCAGGGGTGGCTGACGCTGTGTAACATAAAGGGTTAGTTCACCCAAAAATGAAAATTAGCCCATAAATAACTCACCCTCAAGTCATCCTAGGTGTATATGACTTTCTTCTTTCAGACGAATCCAGTCGGAGGTATATAAAAAATTGCCTTTGATCTTTCAAGTTGTTTCATGGCACTCAGCGGGTGTTCCATGCGTCCATCCAAAAGAAGTTAAATAAAAAGCGCCCATCCATTAAAAAAAATCATCTCACACGGTTACAGGGGGTGAACAAAGGCCTTCTGTAGCGAATCGATGCGTTTTTGTAACTTTCAGACGAATCCAGTCGGAGGTATATAAAAAATTGTCTTTGATCTTTCAAGTTGTTTCATGGCACTCAGCGGGTGTTCCATGCGTCCATCCAAAAGAAGTTAAATAAAAAGCACCCATCCATTAAAAAAAATCATCTCACACGGTTACAGGGGGTGAACAAAGGCCTTAGGCCTTAGGCCTAACCTAAAGGAAGCAAAGTCTTCTCTTGGCTTATATCGAAATCCTCCGACATTCTTCTTTACAAATCCTCCTTTTGTACTTCTAATTAGTACTCACCCTCAAGTCATCCTAGGTGTATATGACTTTCTTCTTTCAGACGAATCCAGTCGGAGGTATATAAAAAATTGCCTTTGATCTTTCAAGTTGTTTCATGGCACTCAGCGGGTGTTCCATGCGTCCATCCAAAAGAAGTTAAATAAAAAGCGCCCATCCATTAAAAAAAATCATCTCACACGGTTACAGGGGGTGAACAAAGGCCTTCTGTAGCGAATCGATGCGTTTTTGTAAGAAAAATATCTATATTCAAAACTTAATAATAACTTTAATGTAGCTTGCACCAACAGTTGTAGACTGGAAGCAGTTCCGGGTGGATGACGTATGAGTTCAGCGTTGCGCATGCGCTGGTGAGTCTCATGAAAACCAACGTTTGTTAACAGGAGCAAAGGAAGCAAAGTCTTCTCTTGGCTTATATCGAAATCCTCCGACATTCTTCTTTACAAATCCTCCTTTTGTACTTCTAATTAGTGACCGTTGTTTTGTTTTGATCTCTCTGCTGCGTTTCCGCGTGCATCACTTCTGAGCGGCGCATGTGCAGCGCTGACCTCATACGTCATCCACCCGGAACTGCTTCCAGTGTGCAACAGTGAGCGCAAGCTACATTAAAGTGATTATTACGTTTTGAATATGGATATTTTTCTTACAAAAACGCATCGATTCGCTACAAAAGGCCTTTGTTCACCCCCCTGAGCCGTGTGAGACACTTTTTTTTAATGGATAGGGGCTTTTTATTTCACTTCTTTTGGACTGATGCACTGCAACACCTGCTAATATACTTCTGACTGGATTCGTCTGAAAGAAGAAAGTCATATACACCTAGGATGACTTGAGGGTGAGTAATTTATGGGCTAATTTTAATTTTTGGGTGAACTATAACCCTTTAATCACTGTTGGACTGTAGATTAATCTGCAAGCGTTCTTCATTTAAATTAATTTACATTTCAGGATCTGTAAATAGTGCACCTGTAAATCTTACCAACAACTGATTGATCGTTAGTGATATTTGCTAAAGCAAGCATCTCACATAGTTGCTCATATGTAGGGTTAAGTCAGCATGAAAACAATATTGACCCTATTAGTTTTCTTATTGCACGTTACTGGTGTTATTATGAATGATTAATTCATGCATATATATATTTGTGATCTCTAACCTAATCTATATATATTTAGGGTTTTATTTGTTGTAGGGGTTTTATAAGCACAAAATAATGATTATACATTGTTACCATGATTTACAGAAAATCAAAGTAATTTGGTGTAACAATATTTCATAATACACATTTCTTGTTAGGCATAGTTACAACAAGAGTCATTAGATGACATTAAGTGACTTAATTTAAGGATTAGATTTTAGCTCTAAAATTCTAATTATTTGTAACTTCAAATCTTTACCCATTTTGCTACTATCCTTCAAACAAGCAGGTTTTGCCTTTTGTCAGCAAGATGTTTTAAAATATAATATGATCACTTATTCTTTTATATGTTTTAACAAGTACATGTCAGAATAAGTTTGTTGTTTAATTTTCGCATAAATATATCTGTTACGCGAGTGATGATGAAACAATATTTCACCCACGTTTTGACATTTTGACAAAAGTAATTTGAAACATTAAAGCAGACGCTTGAATTTAATATGCTTTCTGTGTATATAAAATCACATTTGTACTTAATTTGTTACGGTCACCAAAATGGGATGTCATATCTATATTTATATAGGCTATTCAATAGAATTGGTCCAAAGACAAAGTCGGAAACGTCTTGAAAAAAATGTGTATGCATGCAAATGGTATAATATCCAAGGTACACATTTCTAATAATTGTGCCGTTCATTCTCATATTGTATTTTCAGAAAGTTTTGGAATATTTGTCCTCTCTCCAAACATGTCACTACCAAAACACAGTAATAATAATTTAATTAGAAGGCTTATATTGACCTTTACTATATTTTAGTAAAATTTTGCTTACATCTCCATTGTATGTATATATATATATATATATATATATTAGAGGTAACTCAATGACAATACAATTTTTAACAATATTTCAACTGTAATTTATGAGATTTGTTGTATTTTGTATCCAATTTTTCTTTGTAAAAGGCAAAAAGTCTGAAAAGTGATCATACTGATTTCAAAGTTAAGGATTCATTAGTTTGAATATACATTGAACCAAAAACTATCAAAACATCTTAGCTGAAAATTCAGTATACTTTATTTTTGACCAAAAATCCCATGTTTCGGTAGTGACTGCATATTTTCGGTAGTGACAGTCACAGTAATGCTTTGGTAGTGACTACATCACATTACAGAATTTTAACTTGCATACTAAAACACTACAAAAAATACTAAAATACAAAAATTTTGCATAACTGTACAAAAATTTTGTTTATTTCCCCCAAATATAAGATTATGTGTTCCCTTTTGTCACTACCGAAATGATGACATGTTTTGGTCGTGACTGTTTCGGTAGTGACAGTTTTATGGGATAACACCCAAAATGGATATATGGTTAACTAGCACAGTTCTAAACAGTGGTACACATATAAAAACTAAATGTTATGGAATAACTCCCAAAAAAGTGTGCTTAATTACAGAAAAAGGTGTTCGGAAGTTACACACAGATTTTTCAGACTTTTGAACACATTTACCTCCAAATGATGGGACCTATCTACTCACACATTGTAGCTATGAGAGAGGGGGACACAGGATTATTTCCTGATCATAAATTTAGGGGTGTAGTTAAAATCACTCTTAGACTAAAACATACACTTGTCTTGGTAGTGACATAAAAATGCGGGACACATTTTTTTTTACATAAAGTTTCATAATTTACCAAGGAAATATAAAATAAATAGTTTTTTAACTTTAATTTTTTTAAAGAATCAAAAAGATACTTTTAAAAACAACAATGGAAAAAAATACAAAACATTATTTCAATATAATTTTCAAAAGTTGAAATTTTGTTTGAAAGTATATATATATACACACAACTAAATTACTAACACTTTAACAATGGAAAAAAAAGAAAAAAAACTCTTAATTAATTCTAATTAAAAATTTTTAACAAAAAGTATAATTGTATATCAATAATACTAAAAAAACACTGGCCAATAAGTGCAGACTGCAATTAAAGGAATAGTTCACCTAAGAATGAAAATGTTGCCATCGTTTACTCACCCTCATGTTGTTCCAAACCTCTATAAGTTTCTTTCTTATGTTCAATCAATCAATAGTTCACTCAGTACACCTTAGTGACCACTAAGTGAAACCACTCAAATGCTTTCAGAAATTGTGAGAAATCTAGTTTTAAATATGCGTGTTCCTTGTTTTGCAGTCGTCCAACACATAAAACGTCACAACATTCTGCTGAAGAGGGAGCTTGGAGAAGGGGCTTTTGGGAAAGTGTTCTTAGCTGAATGCTACAACTTGTCTCCTGACCAAGAGAAGATTTTGGTGGCTGTTAAGGTATGGTATACACAACAAAACATTGATTCTGCACAAATTCTGCACATTTCAGGTTGTGGCTACATAATGAGGCTTTACCGTAGGTATTTCTATAATAAAAGATCAAACTTTCTTATCTCCCAGACTCTGAAGGAAGCCAGTGAAAGTGGACGAGCAGATTTTCACCGAGAGGCAGAGCTCCTGACCAACCTGCAGCATGAGCACATAGTCAAGTTTTATGGCGTGTGTGTAGAAAGCGACCCTCTCATTATGGTGTTTGAGTACATGAAACATGGAGACCTCAACAAGTTTCTCAGGTTTGCAGGAGAGTGTTTATCACACCCACCCACCCAACAATGATGTTTCACCCTAAAATGAAAACTGCTATCATTTGCCCTTATGTTGTTCCAGACCTGTGTGACATTTTTCAAAATGTCTTCAAAATATTGTCTTTTGTGTTCTGCAGAAGAAAGAATTTCATAAAGGTTTTTAAAGAAAGCAAAAAATGTGTCTACAGCATTTTATTGTAAAGCTCATTATTTTATAAAAGCCTGCATGGATTATTTCAATAAATAAATTGTTCATTTGATCTGTAAAGTCTAAGCAAAACGTGTCTGTATGTTGTCCACTTTCTGACCCCCAGTTTAGTTCAGTCATGCACATGCTATTCTCATACTCTGTCTTACAGGGCTCATGGACCAGATGCAGTGCTGATGGCAGATGGACAACAGAGTTTGCAGGTGGAGTTAACTCAGCCTCAGATGCTGCACATTGCCCAGCAGATAGCAGCAGGCATGGTGTATCTAGCTTCACAGCATTTCGTGCACAGAGACCTGGCCACACGCAACTGCCTGGTGGGAGAGAACCTGCTTGTCAAGATAGGAGACTTCGGCATGTCCAGAGATGTGTACAGCACCGACTACTATAGGGTAAGTGTGGGTCACCTTGGAAATCTCCATATCACTGTGGTCCTTTTGGTCCAAAGAACCCAAAATCTACTACAAAGGTCTTATTTCGTTTGAAACCTGAATGCGTAACTGCATTATATATGATTTTATTTAAATTACAGTAATCTAACAATGATATGATACGAAATATAGATGACAAACTCCTTTAAAAAACATCATGGCAACATTATCCACCATATACACAGAGATTATTGACCAATATGAATACTTCAATGGTTAGTTCTTAAATTTTAACTTGGTATCTTAAACTTACATTTTACATAATACATCTCCCAACATCCTGAACGTGTTTACAGCTTAGATTAAAAATTAAATAAATACTTCATGTATAGGTACTGCAAGGCTTTTATTGCATTTGTTGTTTATCAATATGGATATTAACTATTCTCTCTTAGTAAATTAAAATATATTACGTTTTTCTTCACTTACCTCTTACAGGAAGAAAATCTGCTATTTGTGATGTTGCATTACTTAAAGTGGCAGTGTTTCATTTCTGTGCGACACCAAACAGAAATGCCAAAGGAAAGATTGTTTTCTAATATAGATAATGTTCTAGTGTCATGCTGCTAAAATAAACATATTGCAGTTGCATTTGTTGCAACTGACTGCTAGCACAAAAAGATACACACTACAGCTTTATGCGTTCAGAATCAAATCAGAAAAGATTACAGATATGTATGGTATATTTTCATTGGTTGCTCAAACAAGCCACTGAAGCGTGTGAACACAGGAAATCTCAGAGAAACCACAGAAAATAATCCACAGGGCCATGTCAGATTCTTGCTTGAACATTCCCACTCCCAAATGTGAATGCAAACATGAGCATATTAAGCAGTCAAAGTCAGCGCCGCTCAAACAGAGCATTGTTTTGAAAATGCCACAAACTACAGTGTTGCACTCCTCACATTCTGCTTCTCAGCAGTTCAGCCAACTGTCAGAGATTCTCTGGTAGCACTTGTTTAATCTAAGGTTAGTTCTGGCGTGGGTCATTTCCTGATCCCAGCCCTCTCCTTTCCGTTTCCTGACTTTTTCAGAATTCAGAAAGAAAGAAATGAAAAGTTATCTGTGACCTCCATCAGTTGAACCTCTTTTGAATCTGACAAATTCATATGGAAAGGATGAACACAAAAAAGCAAAATGCAGTTTGTGTATGTCCACAATGGATAATATGACGATATACTGTTGTTTTGTCTTTCATTATTATGGGTTATTATGACTAATGACTATTTAAATGTATGCATCTGAACAGCTGATTAAATACTGTAAATATGAAAGTGCCTCAAAAACCAACAGTTCTTCACAGTGAGTTCTTCCAGAAAAAGCCCAGACCATCTGACACTCAAGGGCTCTCCCAAACCTGCATCCTGCCAACACAGCCGGAAACACTCTGCTGTGTCAGCAGCCGTGTGCGTGTGAGATGAAGGAATATCAGCTCCCTCTGTCGTATAACAATAGAAAACACAGGATTTTGTCATTGAATGATCACTAGGAATCCTGCAATGCAATGTCATGGTAATGAGGTCAAAGTTTTGCAATAAACAACGTATTGTGGCAAAACACTGCAGTGGTTTTACGTACAGTTTTATGCTATAAAAGACCCATATGCTCAATCTGAAGTGTCTCACATTTAAACAAGATTGATACAGAGATTTTCAGTATCACAATTTCTATTCTTTTGGTCTTGAATAGGTGGAACGTTCTTTGTGCTGTTTAATAAACTTTAGCACAGGAAGATTACATATTCTAAGGCTTCTGAAGCCATACAGTAGCTTTGCATAAGAAAGAATTATAGAAAATTATCCCCTTTTCAGTCTCATTTACACTTTTGCACATTCAGTCCTGCTGCAAGGACCAATGGCATCTGGCACTTGAGAGCTGAGATAGAGAGGAAGATTAACAATGAATTCCTTCTGTTCCTTGCAAAGCTATTCTATGGGTTCAGAAGACTTGGTATTTAGAACACAACTTGGTTTGAAACAGCACAAGAGGATTTACATTTGACAATTTTAATTTTTTGGGGGAAATATTGTGGTTGCACTTTATTTTACAGTATGTGTATTGAGTAAAGTAACTACTTGGGATAAAGGATTGGTTCAAGACTAGTAACCTACTTATGTGATTCCTCTAGTAAGTACACAGTATGTACACTTCTGTTCAAAATGTTTTTGAAAGAAGTTTTTATGCTCACCAAGGCTGCATTTATTTGATCAAAAATACAGTAAAACAGTAATATTGAGAAATATTATTACAACTTTAAAACATTTTCTATTTTAATATATTTTAAAATGTAATTTATTCCTGTTATGGCAAAGCAGAATTTTCAGCATCCATTACTCCAGCTTTCAGTGTTACATTGTCCTTCAGAAATCATTTTAATATGCCGAGTCCCAGTTATGCTGCTTAATATTTTTGTGAAAAAAAATGTGGATTGTTCAGGCTAATTCACACTGTGCTGACTGTCTTTGGGTTTAGCCAGATATGTGTGTTAGCCCTGTCTGTTGCCATTCATCAGTGCTGGTTTTCACAGATTAAACATGTTGGAATCTGCATTTGTAGGGTCTTGGAATGTCTGAGAAGTGGCATACTGTCATCTGGACATTGGTTTATGTCTCTTGGTATGGTGTGGATTAGCCTTTAGATGAATAGAAAAAGTGCTACCAATATTCCTTGTATAAATCAACCATCTGAAATGCTACAAGTGATGTACAGTATAAAAAAAATGCATATTAATTTCGAAATTTGTTAAAGATTATATTTAACAATGTTATTAAATAATAATTTTGTTTTTAAAAATCAATTTTGAGTGTTAGAGAATGGCAGAAGTGATCTAAATGTATAAATAGGCGAAGTTAGCTTGCACAATTAAATATGAAATATCAACAAAATACAGGTACACTTAAAGAAAAAACTCAATCTAATACAGTATTAGCAGATAACATGGTGCGGATATATAGTCCATCCCTAATAATTATTTAGTTTACTTTACTTATTATGGAGACTCTAAAATTTAAAGGATAGGAGATGGATTTATTAAGTGCATGTGCTTCTACCAGTCACTGTTAATCTGTATCTCTTATCTCAGGTGGGTGGTCACACCATGCTGCCCATCCGCTGGATGCCCCCAGAGAGCATCATGTACAGGAGATTCACCACAGAGAGTGACGTGTGGAGTTTGGGTGTGGTCCTCTGGGAAATATTCACATACGGCAAGCAACCCTGGTACCAGCTTTCAAACAACGAGGTAAGACACATCAGTCATAACCAGTCATACCCAACGTGTATCTCAAGTAGGAATGGAAGTCCTCAAGTAATATATACCAGTTACTCACAGAGTGATTAGTTCGTCCTCAAAAGCACTCACTGTATCACTGTACCTTGTAAAAATGACAGACTAGTTTCTAGGCAGACTGATGCACCCTTAGTGGAGCCTGCGTTCAGTTGTAGTTCTGGACCATGTTTGTGCTGCCCCCTGCAGGTGATCGAGTGTATCACACAGGGTCGGGTGTTGCAGAGACCTCGTACTTGCCCCAAAGAGGTGTATGACCTGATGCTGGGCTGCTGGCAGAGGGAGCCCTACATGAGACTCAACATCAAAGAAATCCACAACCTGCTCCAGAGCCTGGCCAAGGCCTCGCCTGTTTACTTGGACATCCTGGGCTGATCCGTTTGCCAGTATGGGTGTGTAATTGTTAGTAAGAAAAAGTGTGTGTGAATGTGTGGTATAAAAGGAGTTAGGGATGGTTTCGATTAGGATGAGTTGATTGAATATAGATGTGGGTGCGTCTCTGTGTGTGTGTGTTCATAAAAATGGCTTGTGCTTCAGCACTCTAACCACATGGACTAAAAGGCCTTAAAGTTGACTGTGTGCATTGCTTTGAGTTTTCACACATCTGGACATGTCCATCTATCGTGCATCAATATGTTTTCTAAAAAACCCAAATAGTCTACAAACAGAAACATCTGATTGTTGTAAATATGCGTCAAAGACAATGCAGACCTTTTGTTTAACAACCTTTTTTAAAAAGGTAATTTGGTTTAGGGAAGTTTATATTTGTTTTTCTCTTACCATTTTGTTTATCGAGATGGACAAAATTCAGACTTGATGAGGACCCAGTCATTAGCACAACGCTGTCAACGCCCTGGCGTCATTCTGGCAGACTTTACGCAGATCGCAATACTATTCATACCGCAAACTATCGAGTAACAATCATGGAAACTGCCAGATTCATGTTTCATTTGAAGTTTTTTTTTAACACATCTGATCTAATTTTAGACTTTTCTGTGCCAAGTTTTGATGTCTATAATGCTGAGGTCGAGGAAAGGCGTTTTTGGACATCTCTGTGCGCCCCATCTTACTCAGCGCGAACTTCGTTATAGAAGCACAGCGACAAAGACGCCTCCAGTTTTTGTTTTTTTTCTTCGGAAGAGGCTTGAGGTTGGACAGAGTGTTTGGAGTGATCACAGAGACAAAGTCACCAGCAGTGGCACTTAGGTATTTCCTCAGACTTTGTTTGGCTCCCCAGCCATAGAAGGAATATCAAAGGGCACTTTGTCTCTCTAACTGAGGTTCGAAGAACAATGGGAAGATGCTGTTCTTGTGTCAATGGTAACGGTCTCATTTTTTTTACGTTATGGTGCTTACACACTAAAAAACATTTTGACGGAAGGCTTGATGGGTAGAAATCTGCAAGATTGTGTTTCTGAGGGTGTGGAAAGAGCCATTCATCCTGGATATTTCCCTGCCTTTCCAGCATCCCTGCGACCCTACATCGGACAAGCGGTTTTGGATTATGGATGGATGGAAAGAGCCAGGGCTGTTTGAAATAAAGCAGAAATACAGCCAATTGGATTTCTGAAAGCACAATTGGATCCGCCTCCCTGGGATTCTCAGTAGTCAACAGATCCCTGCGACCGTGCATTACAGCCAAAGTACAAATTCCCTCCACTTTTGGTCACAGAACCGATCATCGAAATCAACAAATTCCCAGCATTCTCCGACGTAGCGTGAACTAATGTGTAGGCACCCTTAATCGTCATCATGTTGAAATTTGATGGACTTTGCCTTTGCGAAGACTGAAGATTTCTTTCAG